TTAAGATTAGTGATGTTTTGAATTTTGAAATTGTAAAATTTCTTTTGGTTTCTAAGTTGGTTAGTATTGCAAAATGAATGTGCACAACAGGGAGTGCCATTGTTCCTATCAGAGATAGCACCCACAAAGATTCGTGGAGGACTAAACATACTGTTCCAGCTTAACGTTACCATTGGCATTCTCTTTGCAGAACTTGTCAACTACAGCACCGTTAAGTAAGCCGCCTTCTCCCTCTTGATTCATCATCTTTATTTTTCTTTATTATAGATTTTCAGTTCATTTGAAGTGAGAAGGTGGAAAAACCGATGTAATGAAATCTATCTTTGAACCTAGCATCATGCTTAACCTAAGATTCAAGATTTAATTGATAATAAATAACGTTTTCGTTGAAACTAAGCCAGTATGAGTTATACTTGCCCTTCGATAGAGGAAAGAAATGAAAATTTCTATTCAAGTTGTTACAAGAGTCAGTAATCGAGTGCTAATCAAACGAGTGAAAATATTGGTGTTCATTATTATGCTTTGTCTTGCAACAACAGAATTGAAGGAGGATGGGGCTGGAGGCTATCATTGGGACTGGCAGGCATCCCGGCTACCCTCCTAACCTTGGGAGCCCTCCTGGTTGTAGATACCCCTAACAGCCTCATTGAACGTGGTCACCTGGAAGAAGGAAAGGCCGTGCTTAGGAGGATTCGGGGTACAGACAAGATTGAAGCCGAGTTCCTGGAGCTTGTTGAGGCAAGTCGAGTGGCGAAACTAGTCAAACACCCTTTCAGAAATCTCATCCAACGCAGGAATCGTCCTCAACTTGTCATTGCAGTTGCTTTACAGGTTACTATTTTTCATGATTTTTACTCCAATTATTACCAAAAAAGCACATTGGCGGTTGTTTATGTTGAAATGGTTTGGAATTGGAACAGATCTTCCAGCAATTCACTGGCATCAATGCAATTATGTTTTATGCTCCGGTCCTGTTCGACACATTGGGATTTGGCAATGATGCTGCCCTTTACTCCGCTGTCGTAACAGGAGCAGTCAATGTCCTCTCCACCATGGTGTCCATCTACTCTGTTGACAAGGTTGGCCGTCGTGCGCTGCTCCTTGAAGCTGGTGTCCAGATGTTTTTCTCTCAATTGGTTATAGGAATAATCCTGGGAATCAAGGTTAAAGATCACTCAGACAGTCTCAGCAAAGGTTTTGCAATCTTGGTGGTTATACTGGTGTGCACTTTCGTTTCATCTTTTGCTTGGTCGTGGGGACCTCTAGGCTGGCTGATCCCCAGTGAAATTTTCCCTCTGGAGACTCGCTCGGTTGGCCAGAGTGTCACCGTCTGTGTCAACCTGCTATTCACTTTTCTCATTGCTCAAGCTTTCCTCTCCATGCTCTGTCATTTGAAGTATGGCATCTTCTTGTTCTTCTCTGGATGGGTTCTGATCATGTCCATCTTTACCCTGTTTCTTCTCCCAGAAACTAAAAATGTTCCCATTGAAGAGATGACAGAGAGGGTATGGAAGAAACATTGGTTCTGGAAGAGATTCATGGATGATGGTGAGGACGAAGTAGTAATTTTTACCAATGGTACTGATGACTCGGAGAAAAAGGACTATTCCAATGGATTTGATCCAGCTTCTCAGTTGTAAATTTCATTGTTTTTAGTGTCTCTTTAGCCGTATAGAATCAGAACATGAATACACAGAAGACAGGTAGAACCGTCGGCGAGAGGGATATTGTGTCATTATGTGTGCTTTGAACTTAAACTAAAAATAAAAATGTTTTGTATGAGATTATGAGTATTATAATTTTAGTGTGATTTAATTTTCAGTGTTTGGATTCCTGTATTTTCAAGCTTAAGCAATGTAACCCTGTTTGGAATTTACCAGCAACAAAAGGGTGTTAATTAAGATAACCAAACACAGCACTAGACATGTATCTGGATGCTTATCGTGCAAGAATTTGTGTATGTTTGTACCAACTTGAAGTCTTCTTCATCTATGTTCCTTTAGATCCAAGCAGTACTCTGCCTCACCGCCTAACACATGACATTTTATCTTCAGAAGAGTTCTTCAGCAACTTCCATTGATAGATACCATCGATGCATTATATCCTTGACACCATGTTAAGAACTTCTTAATCTTGGGCCCAGTAGTGAAAGAAATTAAGAAATACACCAAATCGGTATGGGTGCGCATCCTTAATATCATCTAAAAAATATTAGTCTTAAACTATGTAAAAGTTAGCCTAGTACACCCTAACTGTAGAAAAAAAAATCTCAATTTAAGTCTGAGCAAGTACATAAATTAACTAACCGAGAGTAGGGATGGGGAGATTTTTTTATTCCAAAAAAGAACAAATTCAAGAAAAAAGTGAAAAAAATATGTTGAGACTGATAGATCATGACTATCATCATGACACATTACCAATATAAAATGAAAAAGAAAAATTAAAGTAAAACATAGTGCTGTTGCTGTCTTATAAACTGCAGCCCCCCCAACATTCTTTCCTTTCAAGTGTTTCAATGACTGGCCTCAAATCCAAAACATGGGAGACACAACAATGATATTGCAGCAAACTGGTGAATTGGATGCCATTATTTTGGTTTTTCTAGTATTGCTCTACGGTCAATTTCATTATTCTGCATCAGAGTATGTGACAATATATTAATGATGTCCCAACATCCAAATGAGCCAGAAGACTTATAAGCACCCAAGACAGATATTCCTCTCCAATTCCCTTTAACTTTTACCACAAAATCTAGATATCTAGCTCTTCCTACCAGAGTTAATGGCCATGGCTTCTGTGAACAGAGCTGTGGCTCTGCTGATAGTGATGGCTGAGGTGGTGCTGATGCAGCTATGTGAAGCAGATGTTTACAAGGTGGGTGACTCAGCTGGCTGGACTACCATTGGAAATGTTGACTACAAACAGTGGGCTGCTACAAACACCTTCAAAGTTGGAGACATTATTCGTAAGTTCATTTTTACTTGTTAATATTCTGATCTTTTTTCGAGTTTAGATTAATCAAACAAGGAATCTAGCTATTTCTTCTAATCTTGTAAGTCATTCCCTTGTCTACTTCGGATTAGCTTCTGCAAATTCAGCTTAG